AATTGTCAAGGGTTTTAAAATACCTGTCTCTTAAGTATTTGATAAAATTGTCTGCAGTTTAAAGAAAGAAAAATCTTTCCCCTTTCACTTGGTCTGTTCACATTAGACTAATGGTTATCATGACAGGATTAATGCCGTATGATTGATTTCACAGTATTTCATTATCCCACTGAAGTGTTTCTCAATTCAGTTTGATTGTCAGTTTCAAGTGGTTATAAACCCTTTGAAATAGAGCTGTGAATTGTTTTATTCAATAATGGATTATTATTACTTAATTGTTAGGAATTGACTTCTAAAAATTAGATGTTTTAATTTTAAAAACATCAAATTCTTCATCAGGCATTTTTATATTCACGTGTGGCATGTGTTTATTGCCCGTCCCAAGTTGCCTTGAAAAGGTGGTGGTGAGCTGCCTTCTTGAACTGCTGTAGTTCATGTGCTGTAGGTAGACTCACAATATTGTTAGGGAGGGAAATTCAGGAATATGACCCAATGACATCTGAGAACTTTATTCCATCACATCTCATCATGAATCTTGAAGTCGGCCATGATGGGTACGAGGTTAGTTGGCTTCGTGTGTGTAAGGGGAAAAGGTGAGCAGCAAGAATTGTTGAACCAAGTTTACATTGGGAACATAAAGGGTCTTGAGGGCATGAAGTGGCATGAGCTTGTATGGATGAGGCATGGGAAATATATAAGGGGTATGAGGAGCGAGGACTTCCCCTTCAGAGGGTGAGGATGTAAAGGTAAAGATAACTCTGGGTATCAAGAATTTAAGCTGGGAGGGAGGAAACAACAAATTAAGCTTGCCTTTTCTTTTAGATTTTGATCAAAATGTAACTGGTCTAATTATTAAATGAATTGCCAGAATTGATCCATGCAAATTGTTCACAGTGATAATGCAGCTGAATATTAGTAATAATCGGAGAATAATACAAACCATAACAATATAATGTTAAAAATACCATTGAATCAATCATTAGAATGATCATTGAAAAAGACAGCGGAGAGGGATGAGACATTTGGATCTGGCTTGGTGGGTTGTGGTGTGAACAAAGCCAACTTTGGTGGACCAGATAGCCTTTTCTCTTATCCTTAACATTCTAGGAGTGTATAACAGGGACCAATACACCCAGTCTGCAGTGGTTAACAGGAAGTAGGCACATTCACAGCAGGTTGGAGTCAAGTTTTACCACTTTACTGATGTTAGCCTCCCAATTCCCAACATTTTCATCACCATTTTGTCGACGTGTTGGAGGAGTAGAGAGGGAGTTTAAGATCCACCACAATTTCTCTAAAACAAAATGGATAGTGAACATTTCCAGTAGTCTTGTTTTCCTATTTTGGATACTAGCACAGACTCTAACAGTCAATGTAACACCTTGAGAGATGATAACATTCGCAGCAAATGAAAGACAATTATGATTTAAGGTAAAACAAATAATGGGCAAATGACCTCGAGACAACACCATTGCCATATTTATCTTTATAGCTTGTTCAGAAAAAAATCAAGTGATTTCATTCATTTATTAGTGGCAATCAATACAACTGATAACGTCAGATTTATGAAGCGTTTTGTGTGCGCGGCATCAGTCTGGAGGGAGAAAATAGTAATTATCCCTCATCAAAATCTAGTACAGCAGAGTTGAAGGATGTGGGCACAAATATTAAAAATAAATAGAGTGCCAATCCCCTTATCCAATGGTGTAAAACTGCGCAAATCTTTATAGCTTACAGTGAACACAACACTGAGTTCAAGGACTGTATGTACAGCAGATATAAATCACTTCAGGAGAATTCTCACTTTATGATCACGGAGTGCAGCAGAGGCTGGCAAGTAACCTCTCCAATAGCTCTGTTGCTTGTGCTGAATTATTAATCATTAACAATGCAACTTTATTCATTGGTTGATCATTCAGCAGTTTTAGGTAAATGACCAATACAAATTGGAAAATCATAAAACAAAACCAGAGAATTGGCTAACATGTTATCTAGCAGTAAGAAAGAACACCAAACTAGGATTTGAACAGTTCCTCTTATGTCCTGCAGAAGCGTTCTTAAAAAAAATGGCCACATACCAGGACGAGTACAATTACAAGATTTAAAAGACATTTGGACAGGTACACAGATCGGAAGACTATAGAGGGATATGGGCCAAATACAGGCAAGTGGGACTAGTTCAGTTTAAGAAATTGGGTCAGCATGGATGAGTTGGGCTGAAGGTCTGCTTCTGTGCTGTATTACCTTATACCAATAAAGTGTTCTAAAGTACAATCATTATTACATAGGGATCTTAATGTAACACTCCTGAAGATCGAGCACTTAATGTAGATTGGAGCTCGATTGCAGTACTGAGGGACTGCTGCATCAAAGGTACTCCTTTTGGATGAATCTTTAAATCAAAAGCCTCATCAGCTTAATCATGTGATCATAAGAGATCCCATGGCACTAAAAGCAGGTGAGTTTTAACTGGTCTCCTGGTCAATGTTTAATGTCACACAATAATGTGGTCATAGCATACTGCAGTCTATGGTGCTTGCCATGCAAGCATATTGTTTGCTGTGTTTCATACATTACAATAGCGACTACATTTCAAAATTACTTTATTGGCTGTATACAGCTTTTAGATGTTCTATGTTCAGAAAAGTGCCACATAAAATGAAACACTTTCTTTTTAAATATCTCATCCAAACGATAACACCATGATAATGTGTCATTCACGCAATATTGCAGTAAAGTGACATTGTAGAGTGTAAACTCAAATCCAGAAGTAGGGATTAAATCCAAAGCCTTCTGAATCAGAAACCAAAACGCCATTAATTGAACAAAAATTCTAGAATTTTGCCACAAATGCTAATGCTCTAGTGAGCACTGGTAACATTTCCTGTGATGTGCAAATCTCTCAGGTCCACAAGTATTTAAATTCATCTTCAAGCTGTCCTGAGTTTGCTGATTTAAACTGGGCTGTCACAATAAACCTGAGTTGGGAAAGGGGTCAAGGCATCCAATGTGCTTTCGTTTGGCAGCTGCCAGGCACTCAACAATAACTGCTAAGAATGTCCTATTACCATTAAGCCAGAGAGCTGTTCAGTTTTTTTGGGGTGGGGAAGGGAGGAGAAGGAAGGATTATGTAAAGGAGATCTTCTGGAGTTCTTTATGACAAACTCCCATCTGTCCAACGTCAAGATTTGGACTAGGACATCGGTGAGGCCAGTTTTAGAATACTGCGTACAATTCTGGTCACCTTTCTAAAGCAAGAATGTTGTTAAACTGGGGAGGGTGCAGAAAAGATTTACAAGGATGTTACAGGGACTGGAGGGTTTGAGTTATAGGGACAGGATGAATAGGCTGGGGCTTTTTACCCTGGAGCGTCGGAGGCTGAGGAGTGATCTTATAGAGGTCTATAAAACCATGAGGGACATTGGTACGGTGAATAGCCAAGGTCTTTTTCCCAGGGTAGGGGGTGTCCAAAACCAGACGGTATAAGTTTAAGGTGAGAGGAGAAATATTTCAAAAGGATCTGAGGGGTAACTTTTTCACACAGAGGGTGGTGCGTGTACAAAATGAACTGTCAGAGGTGGTGGAGGAGGCTGGTACAATAACAACACTTAAAGGGCATCTGGATGGGTATATGAATAGGAAAGATTTAGAAGGATATGGGCCAAATGCCGGCAAATGGGACGAGGTCAGATTGAGATGTCTGGTCAGTATGGACAAGTTGGACCCAAGGATCTGTTTCTGTGTTGTATGACTTTGTGATGGTGAGGGTGGTTCTTGCTAAACAGGTCAAAGTTCGATGCAGCCCATTTCCACCACTGGTCCTTAGCACAACCCATTATACACAAATGGGCATGAGACAGCTTCACTGAAAGGACTTTTCCAGGTCACATTCTTCTGCATGATCAGGATAATTTTGTGAGGATCATTCTTCTATTACAATAAATTGGATCAAATTTCCAAAGGTATCAATAATGACAAATATTTAAGATTCTCCAGTCCACTGAAATATGGTGTGAATGACAATACATACATTCCTCACCTCACCCTGAAGCAAAGAAATTTGCATCAAGGTGCTTTTAATAGAATATAACACCTTATTAGAAGCAGTGACCACTGTTAAAGCAAGAAGCTCCTTATTTCACTGCCATTCCACCAGAAGTTTGAATACGGCATCAAAAGTCTTACAAAATTCCACAATGCCATCCATATTTCATCATTTCTCACGCTCCATCTACATTCACAACTGTTAAGCACTGAAAGCAAACTATGGCATTCACAGCTGGCTCCAAAGTAAACAATAGCCAGAAGTAAGCATAAAAAGTTTCCCAAAAAGTGCCCATTTGTCTTTGCACTTGTAATAAGAGCTGTCCAAGACACATGATGGAATGGGGGTTGGGGTGTGGGGAAGCTTTACGAGGTGGGACTTTGTAAAACTCAATTGCTTAGCTTTAATGTTCAACTCAATAGACCAAAAAACTTAGCTCTCCGAAAAAAAAACGAATCCACTGCCCACTGCAAAGAAATACGTTGCATCACCAAGTCTCTAAATTCCTTTAACTGCTGAGTAATTTGAGCTTTTTGTGTTTATTTCCATTTGGAGCTGTCACAGCCACAAGGATATGACTAAGACCGTGGCTGGAATCTGGGAAAAACAGCCTGAAGTGTTTATAACATGGATTAGGCAGACTGACGGTTACAAACAATTAGTCTCTCAGCTATTGAAGAGGATTGATGACCAAGTTTTATTTTCTCCAAGTTAGAGTTATTTTTGACAAAATCTCTTGATTAAAATAAAATAAGCATTAATATTTCCACTTGCTTTCCCTCCTGTAGCTGCAAATTTCCAGAACCAGCAGCAGTGATTTCAGGCATTTTAGGATGTGTCCAATGTGTTGTATGAACTGCCACTTCCTAAACACATGACATTATAGGACAATAAAACATGCACATGGACCAAATTAACTTAAAGAAGCCAATTCCCAAAGGTGATAACTACTCACCACAGATGTTCAGTTCCTTCTTCTGCGAAGAAAAACATGCACTATCCACTGAGCAATGAAAGGCCACACAACTAGAAACAGCAACGTACGCCCCGACGGGCCAAACAGCCACCTGGAAATTCTCTAGGAGACATAACAGAGTCCATTCTTATTCATGCAATGGGTCAGCACTGGCTAATGTTTGCTGAAATAGTTGCAATGATTGTGAAATTACAATCAAATGCATTTGTGAATAAACAGCACACAGAATAGTCCGAAACATACATCATCAATGAGACTAGGAACATGGATTGGATGGTTTGTTATAGGGGCACATTACACTATTTTACTGTGATAACTTTGTATAAATTATAAACAAAAAGTTAAGCGAAAAGCTACAATTGATACTTGAACTTAAGGGTTTGTGAGGAGAGATTATACAATTTAGGCCTGTTTTCTCTAGAATTTAGAAGGTTAACGGGTGATTTGATTGACGTTTTCAAGATAATAACAGGAAAAGACAGGGAAGATATACTATTCCATTGGTTGGAGATTCTAGAACTAGGGGGAATAGTTGGAGAATTAGGGCCAGACCATTCAGGAGAGATGTTACCAAGCACTTCTGCACACAGAGTGGTAGATGCTTAGAACTCTCTTCCACAAATTGCAGTGGATGGAGGATCACTTGGTAGTTTTAAATCTGGAGGTAGATGGCATTTTGTTAAGCAAAGATGTTAAAGGATATTGACCAAAGGCAGGTATATTGTGTTAGGCCACAGGTCAGCCATAATCTCACTGAATGGTGGAACAGGTTCAAGGGGCTGAATAGCCTATTTTTGTTCCTCTGTTCTTATGATGAGGAACAAAAGAGAGAATCAAGCTTCTGCAGTAGAGCTTTTCGACCACTGCTTTATTAGTCATCAAGGATAACTAACATTAAACCCACTTGCCATTGTATATGGAGTTCAGATGCCATGCACTAAGGAAGGTTTATATTGCCACAATAGGTTCACTGGGATTAACTGATGGAAATGTAGTACACAAATTAAACAGAGTCTGTAATGGTTATTCAATGGGTTTAAATTTCGGAAACTGGGCAGTAGACCCTGATTATAAATTTACAATCTAATCAATGAGCTTCGATGCTGTCATGAGTCAAGGTTACCAAGGCTCAAACTGTCATTGAGCATCACCGGAATTTCTTAATCTGAAAGCAGTCTCGTAAAACATTTCCCATCCTCATCATCTGCAATTTATGAGCAAATTTTGTTTGCTGTTATGTTAGATAATCATACTATTTCACACTGCAGTTCAATGCATAGAAGCTGTACGAAACAAGGAAGTATAGATATGATACAAATCAGCGAAGTATTTCATTCACAGAACCCTAGGGTGCTCACGTTGGAGCACCAGAAATACTTTTGCCGTTAATAATAGCAAGAAAAAGCAGATTTTTTTTCTCTGCTGTACTTTCTGATATACTGATATTCAGCATTAGTCTGTTGTGCTTTGTGAGATACTCTAACATTACAGCACCAGGATTAGGAGCAAGAGTAGATCATTTGGCTCCTCCAGATAACTGCACTATTCATTATGTCTGTGGTTGATCTGATGTCTTCACTTTCCTGTCTGCTCCCACATCCCTAAATTCAAAATAGATCAAAAATCTATTTAAGTCAACCTTGGATACATTCCATGCTGAAGCATCTATAAACGTCTGGAATAAGCAATTCCAAAGATTCACAACTCTCTGAATGAAAAAATTTCTCATTTACATCTTAAACATTGGGTTCCTTATTCTGAGGTTGACGTCCTATATGTTAGAGGACACAGCCAGAGGGAAAAGAACCTTTGTGTCAAAACCTAAACAACCGACAGAAACTCAGTTACAACAGTCGGGTAGGTGGAAAGACAATTTGCAGGGTTTCTTGATGTTTCAATAGGTAAATGCACCAAGTGCCTTGGGAGTGTGCTGGAGTGGCCAGCAATGTCCCAGGATTTAACCCAGGAAAGTGCCAAGTTAGATCATCTCAATTAAAGTGTTAAGAAATTACCGGTCTATAGACATGATCAGAGTTCTTGCTGCTGACCATTATCAAGTGACGGAATGATCATAGACTGAATTTTACTATAAATCGACTAAGTATCACAGAGGGTTTCTCTTTGTAAAGCTTAGTGAGATTTCTCATGCTATCCTACCAAGCTCACCTGATCACCCATGCACCACACTCCTCTGATGCCCGGTCATCATATCCTCCCTCTTGCCACAGGTGAACACTCGCCACTGCTAGGATTTCCTGGGTTCCCAGCGCTGGCATATCTTTAAAGCCCAGCTGTGTACCAGGTCCAGTGGGGCAGTCTGGAGCTGCCATTTACTTGAAAGCAACCAAAATAAAAGCTTCTCAGGTGCTTCATTTCACTTTATTGCAAATATAAGAGTATATTTGAACATCTAATTGCATTTAAAAACCATGGAACCTTAGACTCGTCCCAGCAACAGCAAAAGCAAATAATAAACAAACAAACAGAAGGTGCAGTTGCCTCTGGGAATAGATAGGAACTGCCTTTTGAACTACAACTCAGTTGCAGTCAACAATATGATCACTGCACCTAACTCACAGCTACTGGGAAAGGTTGTCAATTAAGTCCTGCCTGTCTTGTTGCTCCAGATGCTGCACCAGAAGGTGATGTTCCTCCTGTCCAATATCCTCATCTTCACCCTTGGAAGACTACTGTTGCTCTCCCAGGTCTTCAGAATCCATCACATCCTCTCTGCCTGCTCCAGTCGTGTAGAGGACAGTATGCAAGGATCATGGGGGATAGTCTGACTGGAGTGTCCTACACAGCCCCTTCCCCAGACTGATCCAACTATCAAAACATCATCTGTAGAAAGCCTACTGGCTGCTCCACAATGGCGCTGGTTGAAAATTGCCGACATTGCATCAACACTCAGTCTCTGTCAGCGAGTTGTGCACATTGGTTTGCGTGTGGAATGAACTTCCTGATGAAGTACTGGATGTGGGTACAATTAAAATGTTTAAAAGACATGTGGATGGATATATGAATAGGAAAGGTTTGGAGGGATATGGGCCAGGAGAAGGCAGGTAGGACTTGTTTAGTTTGGGATTATTTCAGCATGGATGGGTTGGACCCAAGGGTCTGTTTCCGTGCTATATGGCTCTGTGACTCTCTGATGGAGGAATTTGCCAGCTCCCAGTGTACAAAGCACAGACTTCTAAGATGTGGTATTGGTGATCACAGATGACTTACACTTTGATGGAATGCAACTCTTTCGTATTGATGAAGTCAGCTGCATTAGGATATAGCCCTTAGATTTGACACATGGCTATTTTGTTGATGCACATGTTTGCCATGAATGCTGCTGGCATGAGACTAACATAGTATACTGCTATATAGAAACATGTCGATTCCTTAACTGATGATGACTTACAACCAAGACATGCGGTCTAGCTTTCTGTCCATGCTAAAATGCAAGGTGAGAAAGTACTGTGAGCCTTTAAGCTCTGGCCAAGGGGACAAAGCACAAAAAGGCAAAGCACGAATGCTGTAAGCATCGAAATAGGCACAAAATGAACACTAAGAGAGCAACTATGAGATGAATCCTGGTTGAATCAAAGTACTAGGTGCTGGTCCCTGCACACAAAGCATTCGAGTGAGAGGTGCAATCTGTTCCAAAGTACAGCTCTGAAGTACAGAACCATATCATAAGTCGGTCAGAGAGGTACCATGAGGGTGCATTGGTACATGTCCCATACCGATATCAGTGGGTGGGGTGTGTGTACAGTCACTGCCCACGGACCATGCCTTGAGATGTTGGTGACTGGAGTCCAAGGTGGAGGTGGCATTGCTGAGTAACTGTTCTGAATTTCACGTTACAAATTCCCACCGTCTAGTTTAAATCCAGATGGTGAGAGAATGGGAAATCAATAACGTGGTGAGATTAATTAATTATGACATTTCAATGCATGCAAATACACCTCTCACTAGCAAGACTGTTGTTTTGTTATTCAACACTTGCTCAGGAAATGAAACTCTTGGCTCTCAACAGCAGGAATCTCTGTACTCCCAATCCTTACTAATGACCTCACCCTATTTTTCCAACTTTCTTGCCGAGGTTCATGACATCCAACGGCTGGGAATATTCCATCCCATGTGGTTGAGCATCAGGACTAGATGGTGATGCACCTCCATGACTGAATAATCAATCCACCATCATTCTTCAAGCACATACTTGTAAGCATTTGTGCACTGATCAGTGAGTTACTTATTCCCAAGGGATCATATACTAACACAAAGTATCTTCTCAGGCAGAGGAAAATATGGTAAAACAAACTACTTAGCTGGGATTTGATCCAGCTGTTTCCTGCCCTGTACTGCCAAGATATGGCAGCTAGGGCCACCCTTAGCTTTGTCATAGCGATAACAACCAATATAACGAAATCCTGATTTTGTACAGTCACAAATTTTCTTCTGTCTGATGCTCAGCAATAACTAACTTCAGACCTGCTTAAAAATTTCTCAGGTTGGAAGATTGGCAATAGGTTTACTTCTGACCACTACGTTTGTGCTTTCACCTTTCAGCTCTTGACCCTCTCTTCAAGGAAGAGAAGAAGGATAATTATACACTTGTTACAGTAACATCAGTGTTACAAACACTACAAATCCACTATTAAGTACTGCATACATTTTGCAAAAATTTAGAAATGCACAAATTAATCAAGGTCAGGGAACATAAATATGTAGAAGATAGTCATAACTGACAAGTTCAATCGCTTGCTTTTCTAAAAAAAAAGTGATTATTTTTATCTATATATTCAATGTGTTGATGGATGCATATGAACCCAAGTGGAGTTCCCCGGGTTTCAGTGTTGAGTTCAGTTTATCCTTCAGTATACAGGGGGATGATCCATGTCAAAATAAGTTTTATGTCATGAAAATTTATGGGTGACACAAAAGTCGGGCATTATGCAAACAGCCTGGGAGACTGTTAAAAATACTTTAGGATGACATGGGGTTGATCCAAGACAATGTGGTAAATCTGAAGTAATGCATTTTGGGAGGGAAAAAGGAGGGGAAATTATATACAATTAATAAATGCTGGATTCCATTGAAGAACAAAGGCATCTTAAGGATTCATAAATGTAATTTTTTTGAAAATAAAAATGTAGCTAGATAAAGTCATTTTTAAAAAGCCACAAGCATATTGTACATTACATATACCATGTGGATTTGGATCCACCACTATAAGGAAGGACATTAAGGACACATTACAACATGTATCATTGATTTGCCACACATTGTCAGGGATGGGGTCTATAATTACGAGGATAATGGTTATGAGATTGGCACTATTTTCACAATAGCAGAAAGGCTAAAAAAAACAAGTGACTGTGGCTTGTAAAGTTGGGAAAGGTTTTGTTAGATGGCAGTGGAATTAGTGACAATTTTAAACTAACAGTAAGAATCCAGGGAAAAGTTGGAAAGTATCTTTGCTTGGTATTAATATCAAGGTATGCTTTACAACAGGGAGTAGTTGAGACACAGACTATTGCGCTTCTTTTATGTAAAAAAGAGCATAAACATTTATAGCAGATAAAAATCAATTACATTATTTTTGGGTTGTTTTAAAAACAGCGAACTCCAATCTAACGAGCCCTATGACATCCTGTGCTGACTTTGTGCCTGTGGATCCTAAGTGTGAAATAGCAGTATCAGTATTAACCGGACTCATGAATATTGCCTCACTGCATATACATCACATCCAAAGCTATGAAAGATTTCAGGTTCACTCCAAAAGTTACACTGCCCAATGTATGAGAAAGATAATCCAGAAAAATATACTTTTAGTTATTTGTGGACTAGTTCTAACTATCTTAATTATTTGCTGATCATTACTTGATGTATCTTCCTTTGATCTTACTTGTAAATAAATCAGCTGTGTAGCTTCGCTTGAAAGCATAACTCTGTACGGCATTTGCTTCATTTTTGGTGAAGACATAAAGGCATGCTGGAAATCCCCTGGATCTCCACTGTACCACACCATAAGCCAAGGAGTAATTCACAAATTGTAGAAGATGACCAATGACATCAATTTCAGTTTAAAGGAGACTTAGACTGTTGTAAGCACAATTAATGATGTTAGGAAAACGCTTCCACATTGTCAATGTCTCCATATCCACTACAATCAGCAACCCTTTCTTGTTATTGCTATATGGGGAGAGCATTTAATGAAGAAGAAAACACTTAAAAAGTGTTTATGACTGTGCTGTTCCCTTGTTATAACTGTGATGCCAAATAACCTAAGAGGATAAAAAGATATGCAATGTGGTAAGAGATTATTAAATAAAGCTGCTTTCATAACACTAGAGATCTTTCACCTTATGCCTGGATATTTTCAAACGAGGTGGTTGCAGGCCAGCTGTTTGCACCTGTAATAAGACAATAAAAATATCTATTAACGATACATGTTAATCTCATACCTCAGTGAATTCCCATTACTGCCTAAGCCAGTGGACAGCATTGAACAGAATGTAATGAACCTACATAAAAATTGTATTTCTGGGATTGACGATAGAAAACTCAATAAAATATCAGTGAGAAAATTAAGCTGAAATCAAGCATATTTTTGGGAATCAGATGAGAAATGAGCAGCTGCACAACTTGCCCATTATTTCATTTGGGGATAGTAGGAACTGCAGATGCTGGAGAATCCGAGACAACAAGGTGCAGGGCTGGATGAACACAGCAGGCCAAGCAGCATCATAGGAGCAGAGAGGCTCTCTGCTCCTATGA